CCCCAGCCCTGGGCCGTGGGTCGCATGACACAGGCCTGCCAATCAGGGCAGAAGTGGGGGCTTTTGCTGCTCTTGCTGTTGAGAGGAGATGCCCCCTTTCTGCTGGGCCAGCTCCATTGCAGAATGAAAGCCTGGGGCTTCTTGGGGGGTATTTGTGGTTTTCTGAACAGAAGCAGACTTGATGGCAGGAAGGGATAGAATCCTATTGATATACTTTGAACATCTGGATCTACTCAAGCCTGAGGTCAACCCTTGGACTTCATGCATGAGCCAATACATCACTCCCTGTTTTGTTTAAACCTTTTTGAGTTTTTACTATCTGCAATCAAGCCCTAATATTCAAGTGCATCATAGGATGAGTTCTCTGTTCCCTGGTCAGACCAAGACTTCACGGCATTCAGAAGCACTGTAGTTCCCTCTGAAATAGAATGAATGCCTCAGCCTGCTCAGGTCCCTGTGCTGGGGCTGCAGGGAGGTGGGAGGATGGCACTGAATCCTGGGAGAGTGACCGGCAAAGCCACAGCCCAGCCCGGAGAGCGGAAAGCTTTCCCTAAGCAGGGATGTGTTTTAGATTATGTTTTGACTTCGAGATAATGTGGAGAGCTTTACTGGAAGCCCCGGGGAAGGCTCAGCCACGACTGCTCTCATGTGCTATTGCTGCTTTTATTTCCCTCCTTTTAATATTCACGGCTCCGAAGACACTCAGAGCATGCAGGCGGTTCACGGGCAGCGGTGTGGAGAGAGGACAGTGAGGACGCCAGCACCTGGGGTGCAGACTGGCTCAGTGAGCTGCAGAGCTCCCCTGCCCCCTGCCCCCAGCTCCCACCTAAGACAGGCCTCAGGCAGGCGGAGATGAGAAGGAAAGACCCCGAGTCGGGGTCCTGCTGGAGGGGAAGGCAGAGGGGGGCCCTGCATCTGCTCCCGGGCTTCCTCATTGGGTCGCTCACTGACTCCTTCATAGCCACTGAGTACGTGGCAGGCACCCTGCTGGGGATGCAGGGGCAGAGCCAGACAAGGCCCTCGCCCGACAGCACTGCCAGACGAAGCTCTTCAAAGGCCGAGGACACCCCGTTTCAGGAGAGCCAGGATGCAGGGGGGCTAGGAACAGCAGCGTCAGCCCGAGCGGGCCGGGCTCTCGCCGCCCATCTACAAGGGCGAAGCTGCTCCGTTTGCAAAGCGGGGCAGGAAAGAACATTCATCTGGGCAAGTCTAGGATGGCAACCGGGAACACGCTTTGGGGTAAAGTTCTCTTCGGTGGCTAAATTCCAACCAAAACAGAAGGTGAAGCTCCTTTTCTGCAGCTATAGAGAATCGACAGCATTTCCCCCTCTGTCATCTTCGTCTCATTACCCGGCATCACGACGCCCTCACTAATTCTCAGCTCAGGGCGGGCGTTTGGAGAATGCCAATGATTCCATCAGCGTTCAATATCACTGTCCTAAAAGATGATAAAGACACGTTTCGGATTCATTGTGTCATCCTTAGGGGCAGCCTCTTCCACCTGAGCTTCT